AAACCCCAAAGTCTCCCACAAGACAGGTGAATATGTAACCCACAGACTTACAGGGTGTGGTGCACTGTCCCATGTAGTGACACTTAGACCATTTACAGAAAGAGTGAGTGGTGACTGTGCTCTACCACCTTAGCTGAGAGCCAGCTGGCTTTTAGCTCAAGCAGTAGAGGCTCATGCAGGAACCTCCAGAGGTTCCAGGTTTGGTTCTGCCTGTTGGCATTACAAATGCACTTCACTGTTGGGCTAAAAGTTATGAGGGAGTGCCTCGTTTCCCTCACCCTTGACTATGCTGAAAAAACAGCATGGGCACTTACTACCAAGATTGGGTTTGCAGCTGAGAATTCCATATAATGGAACCTCCCTGCAGCCCTGATTTAGGCACTTATCTCCAAAAGATGCCCTTTGGCTATCTTAGGTGCAAAAACAAGCAGTGTGGACGTTTTCTTTTTGCCCCCAAGTCCCTTTTTCCGCAAGATCAGTATACCTCCTTTTTGGGGGCATAAGGATCTTGCAGAAAAAGGGTTTTTTGCACAAAAAGAAAATGTCTACACTGCTTGTTTTTGTGCAAAACCCCTTAGCACAAAAACGGATCGGCAGAAAATATGCAAATGAGATAATGACTTATGCAAATACATCCCTCATTAGCATATTTTTTGCCGAAAAAACTCATAGTGTAGATGTAGGCTAAGAGTGCAGAAGGTGGGGGTCTGCAAGAAACTTTAAAATACCCTGACATAAAAGGCTTCTGTTTAAAAAAAACACAATTCCCCAAGGATCTCTTATCTTGAGTGGTACACTGCCACCACCCAAATGCAAAAACCCCTTTGAAAATCCAAGAAAACTCACTTGAGACTGTCTTCCTTTGGGGTAACAAGAAAGGATAACGAGAAAGGTTTCTACAGGCATGTGAACAAGAAGAAGGTGATCAGAGAGGGTGTGCAGCCCCTACTGGATGAAGGAGATAACCTAGTGACAGATGACCTAGTGACAGAAGTACTCAATGCTTTCTTTGCCTCTGTATTCTTTGCCCCTGAAGCCACTGCTCTCTGCCCTCCACCAACCCTCTCCCGTTAGCTAATCAGGGGTGCTGCTAAATAGATGATTGGGGGTGCCACCAAACAACTGTGGTTGGTTAGTGCTGAGCACCCACTATTTTTTTCCATTGGGCTCTAGACCCAGAGCAGCCACTGAGTCTGCACCTATCGTGGTAGCTATGTCAGCAGAAGAAACTCTTGTACCGACATAGTTGTGACTGAAAATGCCAAGGTCAGGAAAGGGTGCAAAAGGCAGGGCAGATACTCCCAACACAGGTGGGTAACACTGAAGTTAGACTCTGCAACCAGTCACAAACTGCTTCTGGTCGCTCACTCTAGTTATCAAGAAGCACCCCCCCCCCCAAAAAACAAAAAAAAGAAATCATACAGCCCCTTTTATTGCATTTTGGCTCCCAGTCAGAAGCTAAGTCCACCACAGTGAGAAATTAAATTAAATATTAAAAAACTCCGCTCACAAACACAAAATGTTTTTCTGACCCCAAGGGTCAGCCACATTACCAGATCACTATAAGTATGGTTCTTACCCGAAATATCACATGGCTTGCCAATCCTGTAGAACAGGGGTGGGTAGCCTTTTTATGGGCTAGGGATCACTGATCTACAGAAAAATCAGTTGGGACCACACATAAGTAAGAAGCAGAACCCCCTCCTCCACTGCCCTCAAGCCCCAGCCCCATGGGAGGCTGAGGGGTAGGTGTTGAGGCTCAGGGGTTACCTCCATGGCTAGATTAACTTGTCTGGGGGGGGTCTAGGGATAGTAGATTTTGTGGGTCCTCCTGGGATCTGAGATGGGGTGCAAAATGAGAGGTTCAGACTATAGGAGAAGGCTGTCAGGGAGTGGGCTGGGGATGGGCATATGGGGTCTGGGTGGGAGGAAAGATGTGGGGGGTTTAGATGGCGCAACTCCCAAGGGCCATACATGGCTGCGTGGCTCTGCAAGTTGCAGGGAAGCACTCCTTGCAGGTACTGTCCCCCCCCCCACTGCTCCCATTTGCCTCGATTCCCAGCCAATGGGAGCAACAGGGGGTAGTGTCTGCAGGGAGTGTTTCCCTGCAGTGCACAGAACTGCATCCTCCCCCTTGCCAACACCATCCCTGCTTTAGCATCTTAAATTAAAAGTTTATGATACAGAGACAAGAAAAACAAGGTGATGTTAAATGGCCAAACAGTCACATACATACAAAGACTTCAAAGTCCATCAGATTCTTAGCAGTGCTGGTGAATTTGCTGGCTTAAAATTCCCATTAGAACCCATCCACAGTTTGGATGGGTCATTCAGTTCTTTGTTCGGACCTTCATTTGTAGAAAGGTTACTCCAGAGCTATGAAGCAGGATTGAAGACAAGATGGAGGAGATGCTTCCTTTTGCCATGTGCCTTCTGTTTCCTTTGTCCCAAATGCAAGCTGCCCAGCACATGGCCTGGAAGCCTTAAAGGTCTTTACATAGACATGCCCCTACATGTCTTGCTGAGTCATAGTGTGTATTACTGGTCTTCTCTCAATGGGCCAGTTGAAAAGCTGATGGTCCTTGAAGAGCCAACAATCAGGCGAGGCAGTGCGTTATCAAACTGTCTGTGAGTGTCACCCAGAAGCATAGCACAAATTTTGTAAGATATAGCCATAACCCAAAATACAAAGGATGACACAAACACAAAATGAGATGCTCATATTTGGCAGATTATAATATTTTTTGCAAATATCTTGCATGGCATAACTCATTGACATTCTACATACTGATATTCAGAAGATCTCAAAGTGTTCCCCAAATTCCATACAGTATCACATGCCCCCATAGAAAATTGATGCAGAAAGGGGTGTTCCTAGACACTGGTGCATCAGTTTCTACTCTGTTGATCCTGGCTGTGGTGGAGACATAATCTTAGATTCCTGGGTTTCAAGGGCACTTCAGGTACAGAGTTCACTTCTGTCACTCTTCTTGGGCAGTGTGAATCTGCAGTCTAACTTTCTTAACTGCACATGCCAGAACCAATGCCTTAGCCCTGATGTGCCCTCAGCTATGTAAACACATCCCCTAAATCCTCTTGGGTGTGGGAGCTCTGGTTTTATCTCTTCAGAGACACTCTGGCGGCAAAGCAAGTACACAGACAAAGCCAAATAGTTTCTTAAGATCAGACACTTTTCTCTTAACAATGCACACAAGAGAGTTAAGAATCTTAAACAAATAACTGCACAGTCAAGAATGCAGGCCCCCACCCACATTGTCTGATTTCACCCTTCCAGTTAGTCATGGGTTTGGCCTTAATCAGGCCTGGGCAAAATATGGCCTGCAGGCCATATCCAGCCCACCAAGCCCTGGATGCTGCAGGGAGCCCCAGGCAGGCTCCCTACTTACCTTGGGGCTATGGGGCAGTTTTTCTTTAAAAACTGTGAGTATGGAGGGGAGAGGGGAAAGCTTTAGGAACTGTTCACACCCCCAGCACAATCCCATTGGCCGGTTTCTGGCCAGAAACAAGCCAATGGGAGCTGCCTGTTTCAATAACAGGCAGCCACGAAGCACAAAGGGCTCCAGAGCACATGGCTGCTGCCTGTGCGGGGGCAGGACAGGCAACCATGTTCCCTCTATGCTAGTGGTGCACAACCTTTTTCGCGGAGCGACCCCTGGGGAAATTTTGGTTGAGCAAAAAAAAAAAAAAAGCGTGGCTGCTCCCTCTGCCCCCGCCGTGCATACGCTAAACTGGGGGAAAAAGTGGTGGCCAGCCCAGTGCTGCAACCCCCCATGGGTTGCGTACTCCTTCTCTATGCTGCATGGCAGCACTGCTTCACAGGTGATTAATCAGACTTGCCCAGTCAGAGGCTCAGGGCTCTGTGCACTGAGCTGACTGACTGGGCAGGGCTGATTAATCATCCGTGAAGCTGTGCAGCTTAGAGGGAACACTGGTAGGCAGGGAGGCTGATTGAGGAATGGGCTGCTGGCTGGTAAGTCTCTTGACTAGACCCTGCCTCTGGCACCTCCAGCTCCTCCCTTTCCCAACTCTCTGTCCCCTACTCCACAAACCCAAATCCTCTGTCCCCCTCCTGTACCCATATCCTCTCCCAGATCTAGCACCCCAATCCCCTGCCCAAAATCACAGTCCCCTAATGCCCTAGCTCCTAGCCCAAATCTCTCAACCCCCTCCTGTACCCCAATTTCCTGCCCTAGGTCACAATCCTACCTCCTGCACCCCAGTCCAGTAGCCCAGGTCACAAGTGCCTCCTTCACCCAAACTCCCTCCCTTACCCCAACCTCTCTTCTTTACCCAACCTCCATCTCAGACCCCGCATCCACTTGATTAATACCATGGAAGAGTGCGGCCCTTAACCACTTTCCAAATTCTTGGAGTGGCCCCCCCATCAAAAGTTATTGCCCACCTGGGGCCTTAATGATAGAAAGCCCACAATTTCAACAGGAAAGAAACATTCAACCTTGATTGCCCTGTCACAGCTTCATAGACAAAGGCATTCAATTAGGCATCAAGCCCACACTACAAAAATGGATGCTCTAATCCACAATGGACCTTGCAATACAGTATGCCTATAGCAAGATCTCTGGGACCCGCAGAAAACTGGAATTTTTGTGACTCTTCCATTCCATTTAAATGAAAAAAGTTGAAGAGTTTAATGAATACAAAATGAACAATAAAATGCGTACAACTGTTATGTCATATTTATTTTTTACATTACATTCAATGTAGTTTGTGCCATCCCCACATTTCTGCAAAAGCCCTCTGTATCCCTTCCTTTTTTCTTTTCTTTTCAAACATCTGAGGGGGTGATGTTTAAAAGTGGATGCCCTAATTTGTTAGCCTTAACGTGCCACCCAACTCCTTGTTGCTTTTGTTTAATGCAAATTGCTCTTTCCAGTGAAAGCCAGAAAAGGGTTAACCCCCTGGGGCCGGGGAGTATAATGGAGCCTGATTTGTTTTCTAATCAGCAGAGGAAAGAGAAGCCAGATGAGCCCAGCCCTCAAGTTTCTCTGCAGCTCAACAGGTTACTGCTACAGCTTCAGCTGTTAGTCACTGGAATTTAGGTGGAGCTTCCTCTTACAGTGTCTGTTCTGATTAAAAAGCTGCTTTCACTCACACATTCAAACAGATACACACACTCTTCCCAGGAGCCTTCATAAAACTCCTTTGTCCCACGCTACTGAGCCAGTAGCAGAAAAGCTCACCAGCCTCTTCACCTGTCCTCTTGAGAAGCCACTGACCAGTCCACAAGATGGTGCAGTATGGTCTCGATTACACAAGGTGCAGATGGATCTTGCCTCTGCTCTTAGGCTTAGCGGTCATCTTTGGCCTCATTGCACTGGCCGGCAAGGGCTGGCTGGAGTCGGAGACGTTGCCCTATCAGCATCAAGCCTCGTTATGGGAAAGTTGTACAAAGTTCGACAATGATCCCAACTGGAAGTGCATCTCCCTTATGGACTATGGTAAGTGACTGCAATGGGGGTGGCAGCCCCTACTGAGTGAGGTCACATGACCGAGTTTACCCCTACTCTGCTCATGCTTCTAGTGTTTGAAAGTTCTCTATGTAGAACAATTTGGTGGGATAAAATAGTGCTCACCATTCAAATACATTAAGCTTTTTGGAAGAAGAGTAGAACAAGGGTGACCTTTTTTAGGGAAAAGAGGCATTATTGCAGTTTTCACAGGGCTAGATGGTACATATTTTTATGGTACAAAGATATATTTGGAAATGTAGAGTGGGGAATATATGAGCCATGTGAGATTAATTTCTTTGTAAATAACTAATAACCTACAAGCTCCGTTTTCCAGAAGTGAATAATTTTTGCAGGCCCAGTCCATAAAATAATAAATAACAAGCTGTATGGGCAAACCTGGATTTAATAAAATGGATTGTCTTTCACTAGCAAGAAAATGTTGAGATTAAAAAAAAAAGAGTTGTGAAGCAGACATATCCACAATAAACATCAGGTAGCAGAATGTATCTCTAAAATTGTAAGGGGGCACACCACATCTCTTGTGACATGCTTAGGAAACAAAAGTTAAAAAGAGTGCATGTGTTTTTCTTTGAAATGGCTCTGAATTAAGGTTTTCATACTTGGAGCAGTTTTGATAAAAGTTTGGTCTCGCATTATGTCACTTAGATAATGTTAATTCAAGTCATAAAGGCCCTTCTCAACGATATTCTTGCATTTTTGCAGCCTATATTCTTATTTACCTCTGTGTAAAGAGTGTGTATAAATACTAGCAAGTCAGAATAGTAGCATGTTGCACCTACCTTCCTTCCACATATGTAAATGTCTGTGCAAGGTTCACAACAGTAGAGAAAGAGACCCTTAGTGTCCATTTGGTTCAGCCCTCCAAAATTATCATGAAAATGTACCATCCATGCATAAATAGTGCTCACTTTCCTACTATGCGTTGACCAATGGCAATGAAAAAATAATGGTGTTTAATTCACTAGTAAGAAAAATATTATTTTCTCTGGTCTAGTGGAATTTTTCAAGCATGCTTGCTATTTGATCTGTTTTGGGACTGTCTTCTGCATCAGCAGACCAGTGGACTTAATTTAACAGGCCTTTTCCATTTCTAAGGCCACACAATCACTTCCTTAAGTCTATCTTATGTTAATCAGGGACGTGAATAAGCCCCTCCCCCAATTGATATAAGTTACAATGACCTAAGCACCAGAGTGGACAGCACTGTTGGTGAGAGCTTCTCCTGCCTCTCACAGAAATGGATTTATTATGTTGACAGGAAAGCATAGATTATCTTCACCGAACATACTGCAGCAGGACAACTCTAAGAAATCCGACCCTATAAATGGCTGATCTTTTATAACTGAGTAGAAAAATGGTTTTAAATCTGTTCTGACTCAGACATTTTTAAGATAGTAGAAGTTAAAGGATAACATAGCTAAGTTAGTATTAAAAGTGTAGGAAATCAGCCCACAAAAGACTATATTAAAATAAATTCCAGGGTCAGATTCAAACCCAGTGATAAACACATGGAAACACCGAGGGTATGTCTATACAACACAGTTTTTTCAGAAAAACGGTGTTTTTTCTGAAAAATCTTCAATTATGTCCACACTGAAATTGCATTCTTTTGAAAAAAATTTGAAAGAACAGAGGGGTTTTTCCAGCATTGGTAAACCTCTTTCTATGAGGAAGAAGCTTATTTCTGAAAGGGCACTTTCGGAAAAAGGCTCGTGTGGACGGCGAAGAGGGAGTTCTTTCGAAAGAAGAGGAAAGAAGAAAAGCACAGGAGCTCTGGTGGCCATTCTGCCCATAGGAATCACAGCTTACATGCAAGATAGTGTCCATTCAGTGTGGACACGATCTGTCAAAAAAGCAGATCACTTTTTCGATGTGCTTTGGCAGTGTGGATGGTTTCTTTCAAAAGAAGTTTTTTTGGAAGATATCTTCTGGAAAAGCTTCTCCTGGGAGAAGCTTGCAGTCTAGACATAGCCTGAGTGGGGGAAAGGGAGGATTAACAGTCTTGGTTCCTGGACACCCACATGATGCCTGATGGCGTTTGAACCTCAGAAGAGTGTGTGGTGAATGGAGGCGCAATGCCTCCCAGCCCTTCCCAACCCCCAAGTCAAATAGATAGAGGTCAGAAATAGAGAAGATATATAGAGAGTCCAGCACCTAGTACAAGACTGGAGCATTTTTTGGTTAGCATTTCACAACACTTTCCTGGTCCTTAATAGACCTCTTTATGAAAAACAAATCTTTCCATGTACCACTGGTTAGGCCTAACCATTGCTGGAACTTTCATCTGAATTGCCCGCTCTCAGGAGTTTCATCAGTGCTGATGTTCACGTGATTACTTTCTACCCCTTATTTCCTTTGGGGATCCCTCCCCAACCTCATATTAATGTTCTATTAATCAGTTCCACAATGGTACAGTTTTCTTCGTAGGCCCCAGGGATGCAATCCTCAAAGATACTTAGCATCTGGCCCACAGACTCAAGAGTCTGTCCCATTTTTACATATCACTATGAGCCAAAAAACTCTCGTTTGCTTGCTGCCTGATCCTGTAATACCTAAATTCATTGGGGGCTCAAGTTTTTTTCTGAACATATACGCTACAGCTTTTCTGTAGGCATGTGGGTGCATATCTCCTGTCTGAGCAAGTGCACTTTGGCCTCACTGCAAGACTTTCTCTACAATGGGAAGGCTTGGAGACAAAAGTGCTGCTGACCTGCAAAAGTCACCAAAAGTAAAAACTGGTCAAACCATATTTTCTGTGTCTCATTGTCCACATTTCATGCCTACATTGTTAGCATCCTGTTGACAGAGCAAAGCAATGTGGGTAAGCATCCCACAATGCAGTGTTGTGGGAAGGCAGAGCTGATCCCCATGCTTTTTGGGATTTTCTCATAACTCTGTGAGCAGTCCATGCTAAGGAATGTCGAAGTAGCACAGCAGTCTTTCCAGCCCCTCCCCTACAGCAGCTGTCTGTGTTCCTAGCAGGGCAGAATAAGAGCATTCCAAAGATTTGTTCTTTGTTTGTTCCCAAAATGGAGCAGCTCACTAAGCAGTCAGATACTTCCTGGAGCTTTGAAAGGGAAGGGGGGTACGTGCCTACAGGGCAGCAGAGATCACAAAACACTGAGCACAGTCATCAGGGCAAGCATTGTGCGATACTGGTGGAAGTCAGTTCTCTCTACAAAATAAACAGCAGAGTCCACAGTGGCTCTTTGTTGACGATGAAGGGAGGGAAAAATAAAAAATGTCTCTCAGGGCTGGAAGCTTTTTGTCACCAAAATTGGGTGTCTTTCCTGACAAAAATCACATTGCAGTGTAAACACTTTCACTGTTTTGTTGCCAAAAGATAGTAACTTTTAGTGACAAAAAATGCCAACATTATTGACAAGGCCTAAGTGCAGCGTTTCTCAAACTGTGGGTCCCAATCCCCCGGGGGGTCATGAGCAACTGAGAGGGTGGTTGCAGCAATGGAGAGGGGGGTCAGGAGCAACTGAGAGGAGGGTCACGGTATCACAAGTTTGAGAACCCCTGCCTAAGTGTCTAGTGATTCACAGAAGAATTGACAACAAGAAAGACAGGCAACAGGATGCCTAAGTTGTGTGCCTGACCTAGCAGGTAGCCTCTGATCACATCATCTGATCCCGCTCCTCAAGAGAGTTCATACTATGCAGCTGTGGGGAGAGGAGGCAGACCTCCCTCATATCCTTTACCTCTGTGGTTAGAGAATATACCCAGGATGTTTCTATCCACTCCTAAAGGGGTAGAAGGGATTTGAACAGGGATCTGTCATCTCTGTAAGGTCAGTGGTCTAGTAGACATTTTGCTATGAAATATTCTGATGTGGGCTCCCTCAGTCTCGCCTATTAACATTGTTCCACCTTGATTAATCAAGTGAATAATTAAATATAAATTGGGCCTGTCAAAGATTTAGAATGATTCTATAGCTTATTGGTTTGAACAATGAGATGGCTGAGTACTATTCAAATTCCTTCTGCTCTTCAAGTGAGAAGGGACTTAAACCAGGGACCTCCAACATCCTGGGTGACTATCCATTAAGCTAAAAGCTGTGAGGCAGGTCCTTGCCTAGGTAATTTTTTTTTGGCCTGGCATGCATGGTGCTGTTTGTTTCTGCGATTTTCTAGGCACCTAAAAGTTCAGTTCTGCAAGGCCCAGTGTTACAGACAGTGGTGCAAGTAAACAACATTTCTTACCAGTATGGGAAGGGAGGGCACACCAGGAAATGGAGGCCACTTGACCTCCTGTGTGCCCACACACATGACTCTGCCCCTCCCCCAACCCAGGACCCTCACGCTCTTCACCTCTCCTCCCTATCCCACATTACCTGATGGGAGAGGCTGCTTGCAGTTCTGCTCCTTTCACTGCACCCCTCCCAGTGGGTGAAGGAGCAGAACTCCCAGCATCTGCCCCTCTGCAGAGCTGTGGTGCCTGTGTAAGGGCTGGAGGAGGCAGGGCTGGGAGTTCTGCATTTGTCTCCCCTGAGAGGGGCAGCGAATGTGGAAAGGAACAGAACACAGCCAGCTTCTCCTGCTGCTGTCGCACTCCCAGTCCTACCCCTCCCCCATGTCCTAACCCCATACACAGACATGCAGCAACTCAGTGGAGGAGTTGGGAAAGACTGTCAGGGAGTCTTTCTGGTACCCTGTACGGGCTAAAAATAACTTACTGGTATGTTGTATCGGACTATACTGTCCCACTTGCAGTACCTGAATTCCTTTGTGGATCTGGGCCCATGAAATGTAGAGTGCTGGCCAGTGTTAACTCTAAGTGCCAGGAGCACAGCTTCACAGGTGATTAATCAGCCTCACCCAGTCAGAGGCTCAGGGCTCCTTTGAGCTGGGCTGATTAATTATCAGTGAAGCTATATGCTGCAGTGCAGTTTAAAAAGAACATTGGTCCTGACTGGTTTTGGGCTTTTCATGATGATCTTTCCTTCTTCTGTATTTTTTGCA